TCTTCCATACTAATGTATATACAGAAAGGAAAGGGAAAAGCATTTTTGACTCCGACAACATTTTTTCGCTAGATATGAGCACTTTTCACACCGATTGAAAAGTTGCCCACTGCTGTTATGTGGTAGATGATGACTAATGGATACCCCCAATATATAGTAGATAATGGCTTATGTGTACCCATAATATGTAGCCCATGGAAGTTTATGGATACCTCCCTTATATAGCCAATGATGAGTTATGATACGTCCGTTATTTAGTACATGAATGGTTATGAGTGCCCCCCGCTGTATAGTAGAGAAAGGGCTTTGGGGACCCCCGTGATATAGCACATAGAGCGTCTGGTTCTCCCACTAGATAGCCTTTGAAGGGTTAGGGATGATTGCGTCACCGTGCATTAAATTTCATAACTTCCTGAAAACGAGCGTTGCTTTGTTTGAAAATCTATACTTTAACTTTAAAGTTAAAGTGTCACCCCTATCCTCAACTTTTTTCTTTTTTTAAATAAACATGGAGTACAGAGAGAAAAGAAAGAATTCGATTTTTAATTCTCTGCTATATGGTTTTTTTTTGCTTACTTTTGTAGACTGCTTTTGCTTTATTTGAGAGAGATGTAGTTTATTGCATCAACCAACTTGAAATCATTGGCATGAAGCAGAAGTCAACAGAAACACGAACACTTATCAATTTTTCTTTTTCTTCATTGTCGAATTTCTTCGATAAACTAATAGTGCTTTTTCTTGTTTCATCCGATTGTCTTCTCTTTTAATTCAATTCAACAAGCTCTTATTTATTGATATTCACATTTTAGGATAGGATGAGAAAATAACCATATGAATACAGATAAAAATAACGTCGAAACATTAGTATTGTCGTTTTTAGTTTTTCTTCCAATGCATTTTCGATGAAATTCATGTGATAGACATAATGTATGTACAGAACTTCAGTGCATACACCTCTGCGTATGTCATTACGATACGTTGATGAGGTAGCGAATCATTTAAAATGTGCATAATAGCTACGTTGGTCAAACCTTGAAAAAATCAACATTTGTTTTGTCGTTGTTTTATCTCTTGTTTTTTTCCGATCGGAAATATCTATTTAAAATAACTAATGTTTACTAAAAATACTCCTACCACATTTGGACCACACTAGTAGGGTCTTGAGCAAATATGAATTTTTTTGATTGAAATAAACGGAAATGCAATCACACAAACTTTTCACTCCATCTTATTTTTGAATTACAAATGTCTTAGCAGTATTTTGAGTGAATTTCAATATGCTGTTTTGGGTAGAAATAGAAGCATAGAATAGAAAATATGAAAGTCACATAGGATATAACTCGGCTGCTTTTCTTGTCAGTATTGCTTGGATGGTGATACTTCTAATAAAAAAGTTCATGGCAGTTTTTTTTTTCTTCCGTATGCATTGCATAGTTTGATACAACTCGATCAACATCCAAAGAATACATGATCACTATTTACATTTTATCATTATTCGGTTCAAAACCAACAATATTTAGATAAAATTCCTAATCAGCCTCGTTAGAACTTGTTTGTTTTGATTCACAATGAAATTTACGAAATAAAAATGATATTTTATTGTAGATTTTAAATTGTGGAAGTTGAAATAAACTCTAACGACATTGAAAGCTTGAAAATACATTTCTGAACATTTACTGTGTAAGTATTCCTTTAAATGTATTGACAATCGCTTAAAGAACGGTAAATCTGTTTTATTAGGATTATTAAAAAGTCAACGATATAAAAAATCATTTCTATTTCCTTTTACTCTATCCTGTCTTGGAGAAGATAGCTTTCTTTCCATGTTCGATATCAAAGTCAGATAGAAATAAATCAATCACCAGTAAAAAAGGACTGTGATACTGAGGATGTGAAATATTATTGTTGACGATAGTGAATTCCTTTTCTTCGATCGAAAATTGTTATGATTTTTAGTCTTTGTTTTTAATGACGAAGAATGCTTCGATTTGTAATACAAGACGATAATTGATCATGAGTAGCATAACATTGACTCTCACTCTTGTTTATAACTAAATGCAGAATTAATAATCTTCAACTAGACTACATGTCAGTTGAGTAGTATTACATAGACTGATTTTCAGCGTCTTAACGCACGTCATTGAATATCCTATTATGGATTGCATGATGACTTCTCTTTCCAAAGACGCTACTCTTGTAATATCATAGGTGGATCATGCAATTTCTATCCTTTTCTAAATTTATGATTATTCTTGTGCAATGGCCATTGACTACAATAAACGATGTCCAGTAAGTTCTGACTCCTCGTGCAACATTTTTGTCGTATATACTATATGTCTAGATCTACTTTATCCTCGAATTTCAGCTTTCTATTTTATTTCATTACGTAGATATATGTTTTATCTAAATAATAAGAATTTTCGCATTACTATTGAAACAATTATGGACGAGAAAAATTGTATCGATTTTATCACGCGTTCATTACGAGTAGCTTTTGCTTNAGTTACTGTTGGTTTGAGAATTTTCAATGATCAGTTTTGATTATCAATTAATTCTTTAATTTCCTTTTCGGTTAGCATAATGTTTTTTTCAGTTAAGCAATAAAATCTTAATTATTAAGCATCACGTTGCATGATGAACAAGTGAACAACAGGAAATACCTGTACATAAACTTTTCCTCTGAGAATAGCCAATAATTAGCTAAAACCATGAGTCTTCACTTATTCATACATACAGACGGTGCTAAATATTGGCGAAACACTTAACGGATCTGGACCCGGTCGGGTCCAGGTCCGTATATGTCAAGCCCGGGTCTGGGTCCGGGTCCGGGTCCATAAAAACATGGACCCGCTACTCTCTATTTATCACTCATGTCTACGCCCACAAGATACATGGAGACTACATCGATTCGCATCTTCAGCAATGCACAGCCAAAGCCAGGCGGATACACATACTCAAGCATTTTCATTGTCACCTTCAATCACTTTCATTTACATCACAAGCACAGCTAAAGCAAAATGCATCGTCTTCGTCATAATTACACGATATTCTGCTCTTACTGGTGAAAAAGAACCAAAATGACCTTCTCTAATGAGTAAGTGAAAAGTGCTAATATTGTCTCCAAGCGTCTCATATCATTTTTCAAATGATGCACAACCTTGAATGCAGCTGCTGTTAATACGCTAACAGCGGAATGCCGTGCAAGTTAAGTGAGAAAGAGAACATATGGGTTGAGTTAAATATTGTTAGTAATTGTTTGCTTGCAAAGCTCGTTATCACACCAAAAACGATGGCAGTACACCGCTTAATGCTTCTTGTTATTAGGTAACCAAAAGGCTTTTTGCCTTAGATTCATGCTATATTTTTTGACAATTTTTATTTTCAGCACCTCTCATATCATTGTAGAAGCTTGTAGACATTTCAAAGGACTAATTTTATCTGTAATTAGCATGCAGTCAATCGCGAGCATGTTACCACGTATCTATATATTGCAGCGGTTACCAACTTTTAAAAATCATGTTGATTCATTCTATGTCTGGCGACTTATTATGATTCTACGGATTTTACTTGTTCTACTATAAGAGTGTCGAAAACTGAAAAATATCGGATATATATATCCGCCAGAACTAGGATGAATAAGAAAGATTTTAAAAAAATCAAAAAATTACAAGAATCAGGACCTGTTGCGATGCATGTGTATCTCAATACGATCTGTGCTCAATATGTCACGCTTGCAACTTTTGTACTTTATATTTTCTTTCAGTTTTGGCATTTGCTTCTTTCTTAATACGCCTTGTTCTCAGCTAGTGTCATGCGCAATCCAGACGGATACATGCTATCAACCTGCTCATGTTTGTTTAAATCATCCATATTGTCATAATCTTCCTGTCTCCTATCCATCATCAATGATCACGGAAGAAATACGCCCTGTCATACTGTACCCAACAAGTAAGGCACGCCATAAGCTACTTGAACAATACAAAATATCATCACGCTTATATCTAACTTGCATAGTATACTTTGTTCTAAATTTCTATCAAACAATTTATTTGGCTTCGACTCCTCTATCGATATCAGGCAATATGCTTTCTAAGACTGCAACATGGGACTGTAGAACACACACCATGCACTACAAGACTGTAATCATAGCTTTCTGATGAAAACATAATGCTTTTCGGTTACCTTTGCTCTTACTAAATGACGATTGGTACAGGACGAGCTAGAACTTATGTTCAGTGCCAAAACATGGATTAATAGTCCTTAGATTCAACACCGGCGACCCAAGTAGAGAAGTGTAGGAACGTGGTAACTTTCTGCTCCTTCCATGCGCACGAAGCTAAAGGTGTGGTTCGTAGACAAACGGACTTAGTCGACCGTGTGGCGAAATCAGTTGCCTACTTTGATTAAATTTGCAGTAGACCCAGTGGATATGTTTTTGAATCTATCGCTCTGTCAAAACCAGTGAATAAATACGAGAAAGATAGACTTTTAACTACTGCCCATTCTGGCAGATTCTATTTTACTCTTAACTTTTAGGACATTATAAGTAAACTATATATCCATATGTAGCATACATTCGAGCTTCACAATTTAACTTATAGATTTCTCTAATCGATTCTGAAAACTGATTGAAGGAATCAACATATGCCATGCTACTTTGCCCAGTGCATCTAGACAACAAATAATGAAGAAGACTATTCGTTAACATGTAGTTACTCAAGAAGCCACTTGGCACATTTAAGATATGGGGAAGATCAACTTGTGAGAACTTAATAGACGAGGAATGTTGCGGAGGAAAGAGTTCTTCTTCTCATCAACACATTAATATTCACATCCACATCCTTTTACTTTTTTTTTTATTCATTTTAGTGATTCCTAATATTCCAGCTAATGCACGATGGACACGGAATGGGGTGACAGTTGTCGGAGGTCATGGAGAAGGCTATGATACCAACCAACTTTCAGAACCTCTAGGTCTGTTCGTCGATGAAGATGAAACGATGATCATCGCTGATAATTGGAATCATCGTATCGTCCAATGGAACAAGGGTGATACAGATGGGAAAGTGGTCGCCGGCGGTAATGGTCAGGGAAACCGATTGAATCAATTGAAATTTCCAAGCGATATGTTGTTCGACAAAGAGACAAAAAGTCTCATTATCTGCGATCGTGGTAATCAACGAGTTGTACAATGGTCTCGTCGTAGTGGAACAAGTAAAGGAAAAGTCCTTCTCGACAAGGTCTTTTGTTATGGATTAGCTATGGATGATCAGAGATATCTCTACGTCACTGATATAGTACGGCACGAAGTAAGACGATATAAAATAGGGGAGAAGAATGGAACTCTCGTGGCCGGTGGTCATGGTCCAGGTGATGATCTCAATCAACTCGATGAGCCGATCAAACTCTTTGTCGATCGACAGCAGGCTGTCTACATATCAGACCACAAAAATAATCGTGTAATGAAATGGAGTAAAGGTGCAACAGCAGGAATTGTCGTCGCTGGGGGCCAAGGAGAAGGAGATGCTTTGACACAATTGCTCAATCCTATCGGACTTGCCGTCGATACGTTTGGTACCATCTATGTAGCAGACACGTATAATCATCGAGTGGTGCGTTGGTCTAAAGGAGCGAAGCAAGGCACTATCATTGCAGATGGAAATGATTCGAATAAAGGAGAAAATCAGTTCCAACATCCCGTGGATTTGTCCTTCGACCGAAATGGGAACCTCTATCTCATTGATTGGGAGAATGCTAGAGTTCTACGATTTTCTATCGAATAGACCGAAAACAATAGTTAATTTTTTTTTCTTTCTCTTGAATAAATTGCGTTAAATAGAAACCTAGTGGAGCTGTGGCGGATGTAATTGTGGGATATGGCTAAGTACTCATTTCTCTGAAATCGATTTTGTCGAAAAGCAAAAGCATACCATAAAATCAGGCTTCGTAGGTTCAAAAACTTTTCTTCATCTATCATAATAAGGGATTTGAGCGACACATCACATTGTTGTACGAACACGAATACTTTTCATTGTTATCGGGTGCTAATGGTTGTAGTTTCTCAATCTGGTAGATCTAGAAAACGTTTTTAAGGAAATATTTCATACAAGTAGGAATGTGATCTTACACGGCAAATGAACCGAAAGGGCAATAGTTCATCACAAGTGAAGAATATCTTTGCGAAAAACTAAGCTATATTAACTGAAATTTTCCTTCACTTTGGAAGACTCTGGTGACATAGCTATTAAGAAGTTCCAATAGTGAAGGAGTTCACAATATGAATGTTGGTGTGGGTGCAGGCGAGATGAAGACTAAAACACCCATCCATGCTCATCCGTAACTCCACACACGGAGACTAGCAGATTCAGCTTGTCTTCTTCGTTAAGAGATAGGTCGGTCTGTTTTTCAATTAATTCACCCATACCCACACCCTTCTGTTGGTTCTGCTTCAAATCGACTAAAATAAGATCGATATCCTTGACTCTAAGCACAGGGCATTATCGGTCAAGTTTCTTGTATTGTTCAAATCAATCACATGAAGAAGGACATAATCAAAGTTCATCATTTTCAAAAGTTACGCCTTCCATTTCACTGACATAATGCAAACATCCTGTTTGGCGGCAACGTTTTTTCGTAGGTTATCAACGAGTTTTGATAATACTTGAGCGCTTTAGCTTAATCTTTCTGATTTGAATAAAAATTGCCAATACAAGTGTAGGTCGATGTGATAACTGGACTGTCAGATGGTAATTTTGATACACGTATATCGAGCGCTTTTTTGATAATATTCCCAAGCTAAGGAACAGTTCCCAGTTTCGTCATACAGAGCGGCAATTCTGTAAGAAGTTTTTCTAAAAATGAGAGAGTCAGCTGATAGAGCATTTTCTTCAACTCTCACCGCCTTTTTCAAGTAACAAAAAGCATGTTCAAAATCTCTTAGTTTACTATGGAAACTTCGGATCTAGCTGTAAGTGACAGTCAAATCCATATGATCTTCTGACAAGATTAATTTCCTGATTTTTAAGGTTCGTAGCTCATGATCGAGGGCTTCATTGAAGTTCAGCTTTCCTAAAGCTGCTTTAATCAGTCCAGAGTGAACAGCACTAATACCCAGTTGAGCTGTGCGCATTATATATTTATAGCATTTTTGCACTTTATCGTACTCACTCATTCCAGAGGGAATCTTGCCAACAGAGGCCAAATCGGTTTCTTCACGAATTTTCGACTTCATATAAGCAAAATTTTCTCGGAAATGAAAATCGTCATCATCAGCTAAGGATAAGTAAGCCGTTCAAATCTTATAGTACGAATCTTCAGTCACTGTATCGATGCGAAAAAAAGCGCCAAGCATGATGAATACTTCCTCTTCTTCTCGGAAGTAGCTGCTCGCTTTAATATTAGCAAAAGCTTTTATTTTCTGTTGTGGATTTATTTGGATTTCGAATAGAATTTGCTGATAGCCATCAGCAGGCATAATCTATTAATTGAAATTAAGAGCAACGAATCGGCTTTAATTCTCCGATAGGAAAGAATTCATCGATAACAATTCATCTTGGTTTTTCTTCATTATTAAAAGTTCCAGCTCATCATGGTTGATTCTCTGTCTTCTATAAACACGAAACGTTTCACACGTTTTCGTCGCTCGAATACACTTCGCATATTCATTTTTTATCTGTTTAGCTATATCCGTAATCAAAAATCAAAAATCGAAGACAATATTGAAATTTGGTTCACGCAAAGCTTTGTTCTTGGTTCTATAGAAGCAAGATTCACGAGTGTACCACCAAATAGCAAGTTCAAGTTTGTATTAGGTTTCAAATTCATGAATGATGCTCATGTCTAATCGATTATCGCTGTACTATTTCTTACAAAGCTTAATCATATCTTGTCGATCACTCAACTTGTGATGCATTCGTAGAAGAACCTCCATGTACAGTTGAAACCACATGAATAAACCATTCGTCTCTTTTAGCGTAGGAGAATCTTTAATCATGACTGAGATTGAGCTACTCTCTTTAATTTTATTGCGAATAGATTGATCTTTGCAGATTTGTGAGTTCCAATCATCTGGCATGACGAAAACATCTGTCACCTAAAAAGCAGCTCTATCGTGAATAGAATGAAATCAAAATAAATGTACCTTATGGTACTTATCAATCCATTTTGCTATTTGATGTACGGTTCTGACAAAAGATGTAACATGTTGCAAGTTGCAGCAAATTGTGTGTACGGGGTACTAGTTCTCGATCTAGTGCACCTGAAATGATTAGACATACCTGCTCTTCACATCGTTGTTGGGCATCAAAAATGTTGAGACGATTGATGATTAGATGGAGTTTTTCCATTACTTCCTGAATATGATTCAAATGAATGTTTTGATCTAGCCTAATGCAAACGAATGATTCCAGATTCGCTGAGAACATTGAATTTGTGTCCCTGTTGATGCTGTTTAATAACAGAGATTGCCTAGTTGGTACGTTGAAGCTTTTTTCAATAATACTGACGACGACTTGACACTGATGTCTGCCACAACTTTGCTGGCTGTGTGCATCGAAAGATTATTCTTTGAGCATGATTTCTAAATTGTATTTTTGCTTTCAAAAGAATACTTATGCAAGATGAAGGGAATCGATGCATCGTATTGAAATAGCTGTTGTTGACAATAGTAAAACATGTTCTAGATGGTTTGAAAATGCTTCTGGATGGTAAGAATTCGAAGCGATAAGCATCAACTTCCAAGAATGAAAAATTCTGGTGGTGAAGAGAGTAAATGATTTCAGGTGTGAGCAACTATGTTCGGTGGCAAGTAGTCGGAAAGACACTGAGCTGGTGATGTATGATATTAGTTGTGTTTTTTTGTCTAATACTGTTGCCTCATAGCACTCAAAATTTATTTTAGGATGTCGATGTGAAAAGTAGAGCGGCGCGCACAGTCACAATCCGTACTCAAACTGTTGGTATTTGCCGATTAGCCACGGTTTATAGATAATTTTGTTGGATAGAATTGGTCTCTTCTGTTTGACACTAAACTTCAATAAATTGTCACTTTTTCAGAAAACTGCTGTCTTTTCATAGTTTGGTGTGCATACGATAATATCAACAAGCTGAATCCACTCGAAACGTCAGCACAGCATAGAAATGTTTCCTAACCTAAATCCATTTTTGAAATTTTTCCTGATGCTTCAGTAGTCAAAACTGACGAATCAGTTATTCTATGATTAGCTCCTGACTATTCCGAAGGCAAGATATTTTTAACATAAATATCATCTTGAATATCAAGCTTTCATAGTCTTAGACATCATTCGAGACTGTATGAACAATGATCTCTCAAAAACAGTTTTTTGCAGTGATATTTATTTTTGTTTTAGTTTTTTCGTTCATGTCAACATTCAAAGAGCACAAGTTTAATTTATATGCTGAGCTAACCGATGAGATATTTTTCATCTATGAAAAACAACAAAATGGTACTGTTCGCAGCTAATCCACGGATTTTCTCTTTTTATGTACGACCTACCAGTCATTGTGATCAGTTTATTGCAAAAGCTAAGCCGGTAGTGATAAAATGTGTATTGTCCACTAAATTATTTTTTTTATTCGTAGAATACTTTTCAATGTTTTACTGAATCAATTCGTTGCTTTTTTTATTTGTTTTTATTCAACATGCAATAATTTATATACATCCTAAACAGAAGCAGATAAATACACTTTAACAAAGACATTTTAGACGTCTTTCCTGTTTTCCCAATGTCTTATAACACTTCAAGAATGCATCTCCGAAAAACTTGTAATTGGATGATTCATTCGAGAATATTTTTCATCAGACATAAAATCATCTATTTACTATTTTTTATTTGTTTTAACTTTGCTACCGGTATAATTTCAGATTTTGTTAGCTAACAAAACTTCTTTGTCACGTTTTAATGAAAAGATTTTGAGAATATTCAACTATTAGCTATGGTAATATAAAAATCAATTTTACACAATGACATTATATAGAATAGTTGAAAGAGTAACACAACATGTAAATAGTTTGTTTAAAATTCTTAAATACTACGTGACATTTTTAATTTTAAAAAAATACTTTAGTGAAGTTCATTTCTCTTCATTTTTATGATATATGATAAGTAATCTACTTATTAATAATGTATTTGTCGCTCAGAGACAATTAAAAGTATGTACCTACAAAGTGAACACTATGCCGTCTCATGAGTGCGTGACAAACTTTTGACATTTCTTTATTTTTAGTATAGTCCCATGAGTTGATCTAGAAATTGTTTTTCTCACATAATTACTCAAATGAAGTCATAGGTTCTCAATACAGTACTCATGCTCGCATTTTAATAAGTCACCGGTTAAAAAAAGTTCACAATTATATTTTCTATACTGCAGAAAAATTGATTGAAATAAAAAAAGCAAAAAATTCTATGATGAAATAAAATTTGAAAAAAGGTTTTTCTTTCTTTGATTTCTTTCTGTCATTTTCTTTTATTGCATTAATTGTTATGTTTAGAATGAATGCAATTTCATTTTCCAAATATATATTAAAAAGCTTTTCCTATCAAAAGCAGGAACTCGTTAGTCACATTTTACTTTTTTTTATGTGTAGAGTTTTATTAACATTTGTTTTCTTAAATTAGAACTATAGATTCTTGATGTATATTTTTGTCAAATATAAGGGTAATAGACACAAACTTCTGATTACTAGTAAAATTGCTTTTGAATATGTGTGATATTGACTTTTTTCTTATGCAACTTGCTGAGGTCTATTCAATCATGACGAAGA